AAATGCATGCAAATATAGAATAGAACACAGACATATCCCAGGCCAGACTTTAGGACACATATATTTACCTCTGCACCCTGAACAATAATCAGGACTATATTTTTCTCCTTTCTTCTCTGTCCTGGGAAAAAAAATCACAGAAATTCTAATAGGGAAGGCTGGGAAAGGAAAATATTGACTTCGACAGCACAAATATCTCTTTCTGACAAGAAAATGTTAATTTCCCCCTAAATCAAATGTTGACAGATATCAGCTGTGACTGGAGACCTGTCTCTCTGGGAGGAGTTCTCTGCTTCAGAGAATGTGCGCAGTCTGAAAGCTCTCTTCCTAAAGGTTAGCTGGCATCACACTTTAGCGGGGTGGAGCTCTAGACCTTCAGGACTGTCCCAGTGTGTTTGCAAGAGCTGAGATCCCTGGGACTCTGCAGAGCAGGAAGGCAGAGGGGCAGGTTCCCACTTGATAGAATGTGCTGTGTCTAGAAGCCTGGGTCCCTACACAGCCGGGCAATGGGATAGAAGCTCTGCTTACATGTGCTGTGGGGCAGGATCTTAAGTGGACATGCAGGAGGAGAAAGTCTAGGAGCAAAGAGAAAAGCTGAATACATAGGCAGAGAGAATTTTTCAGAATCGCACGCTTTACCTACCCATTTCCTCCCTGCTCCTGAGATGCACAGTGTAAATACTCTTTATTCAACACCAATATTTTAAAAATTCTAAATTAAAATTCCTCTACTTTCACACACATACTCTCTCTCTCTCTTTCTCTCTAACTCTCTCTCACACACACACACACAAACACTCTCTCACACATTCACACACGCTTGCACTCTCACATACACATACACACACTATCTCTCTGTCTCTCTTACACACTCTCTCACACACTCTCTTCCACACACATACACATGCTCCCTGTCTCTGCGCCTCTCTCTCTGTGTCTCTGTCTCTCTCTTTGTCTCTTTCTCTCTCTATCTCTGTCTCTGTCTCTCTCTCTCTCACACACACACATACACACACACACACACCTTTAACTTGTTAAGTTTGAATTGAAGAACGTGGTATCTCCAACCAGCAAGCTCTGACAGTCTGCTCGGCTAAGGCCAAGATTAATGCAGAAGGTTGGTGCAAAGCTGCTGCAGAGCTGCGTGCTCGGAATACGAGATGCCGTGCAGGGGAAAGGCCAAGAAATATGTCTGTGCTTGGAGTTTACACAAGTCTCCTTAGCAACTTGTCTGGATTTATTTCTCCCTCGGTGTGTGTGGGTTTCTTCCAAATCCCAAGTGAAATGGGAGTCGAGAGCCTTAGCCGGCTCCTCTTTCCTTTCTGCTAGGGCAAAATCTTTTATGTTGAAGAGCAAGGCTTTCATCACTAGCTCCTTCCTTCCCCCACCCCACGGACACAGCTCTGATTCTTTGCACTGTGCCTCTGTGGATCATCGGGGACCTTCCAGAAATCCAGGGCTCCGTGGTGCAGGCGGGGTGGTGGTGGTGGGGGTAGACAGAGCCCGTTGCAGACGGCCAGTTTCTTGCATGTTCCCGTGTGTGACGTGTGTGAAATGGTCCTGTGTGACAAAAGAGGGGAGACACAAACAAGCTCCCCTCTTCTCTGCCCCTCCTCCCGTTTTGCCTTCCTTTCTCTATCCACCCCTCGCCCGATGCCAAAGGCCCTGACGTCTTGATTAGAAGACGACTAGAAAGCTGCGAGCCGGGCCTGACTTCTGGGCCTTTGCTAGGCTGGTTTCGGTGCGGCTGGGCATGCTCAGAGAAGACACCCTTAAATGCTGCTGGACTGAGGGGAGCTGGGGCTGGGCATGCTCAGAGAAGACACCCTTAAATGCTGCTGGACTGAGTGGAGCCACTTTGCCTTCCAGCCTAGAAGAGCACGGGACACTATTCGAGGGCCCACGCCTAAGGAAATCTTAACGTTGTCTGTTACTTTCCCCTCGATTTTAGAGTGGGGGGGGGGGGGAAGAGAAGCATAGCCAAAAAATTTAAGGTTTGATTTTGGCTCTTTTACAAACAGATGTTGCTTGTCATCCTGATACGGTTAAGCAGGCAACAGATTGTGTGTGTGTGTGTGTGTGTGTGTGTGTGTGTGTGTGTGTGTGAGAGAGAGAGAGAGGGGGGGGGGAAGGAGGCAGGGAAGGAGAGTATGCCTAGAAAGTAGACGTAATAACCTGGGTAACACGGGGGTCTTGCCTTTCTAAAGCCTTTTGTCAGAGACTGTATAAATTTGTGACCTGTCGATCTGGTTGCTGTTCTAAATAAGGGAATATGGAAATCAGGAAACCCGGATGAGAAAATCAAATCTTCCTGGTGTGGTGACAGGGTGAGATGCAGATGTGTAGGGGTAACTATGTCTGCCTGGAAGTGGCCCTGCACCCTTATGTAAGCACAGGGCCTTCTGCTTTATAAGAATCTAGTCACTTGGGTGAGGGTTAGGTGATTGCTTCTTCTCGCAAGCATCACCGTGTAGGCTTCAGGCTAGGGCTCTGACTATAACAGTCAGAGCTCTGAGGATGTACTGGCCATTTACAGATTGCATATTCTCTCCCTGACAGGGTGCAATAGACTCCGTCTTTTCTTCAACACCCCTACATTCTAATCTCATTGTGACGCGCCTTCCCAGGAACAAATCCTGGCTTTGACTAGGAAGTGTTAAGGTTGGCCAGCCTCCTGGGAACACTTGTGCCGCACGCCGTTCACTTGTATTAAGGAAATGACAGACGCCTCACGTTTCCGTGTCGAGTCAGACTCGCATTAGCTTTCATTTGGACACCCCCCCCCCTTGCTTTATTGACAATGCAGCTGGAGTAGAAGTCGTGGGCTGGCACCTGGGCATCTTAAGGAGGAAGGAAGATGGCGATTGGGAGCAAACTTGGTCCTTCCCGCAGTGAAAGCCGTCTTTCGTAGCCAGCTGCACGCGAAGCAGCTTGGGACTGGCAAAGCCTCTAGCTCCTTTGTTTTACCAAGTGTGCCGAAAGCAAACCTGGTCCTAGTCCTCGCTCTCCGGTTCTCGCTCTCAGCGCTACATCTGTTTCCAGGGAACATTAAGGAGGGCCAGACATTTCCTTAATTACGGGAAACAGAGCTGCACCGCTCAACAAAGTGAACGCTTACTTTTCGTCCGACTCTATTCCTCCAGACTATTTTCACGTCCCTATTCCCTGGTTGACCTACACATGCTGCCATTTGTCATTTTTCTTAAATTATTGATTTCTTTTTTAAGTCCAGGAGTGTATAGTCGGGAGATTATATATGGAGTGTCTGAGCTGGCTTGGCTTGAAGGCCAGGAGAACTATGCCCTGCTGTGGGATGACTCTCCCCTCTTTTTTTCCCTTCAATTCAGAGTTTCCTGAGAAAAGACTTAATTCAGCCTATATGACTTCAGTACCATATTGTAGGCGTAGGAGATTTTTTCACACTGCAGTCTAGGGACCTGGTGGCAATATCAAAGGTGGAAAGTGTGGTGTCGCATCGTGTAAGGGCACAGTGAATCGCCCTAGGAATAGGAACTTCTGGATGTGCTTTTTAAAAATTTTTTTCCAAGGCAGGTTTTCTCTGTGTAACAGCCCTGGCTGTCCTGGAATTCACTTTGTAGACCATGCTGGCCTTGAACTCATAGAGATCCACCTGCCTCTGCCTTCTAAGTACTGGGATTAAATGTGTGTACCATCACCTCCTGGCTGGATGTGCTTCTACTGTGGAAGCAGTTGGATCTTCACACACACACACACACACACACACACACACAGAGAGAGAGAGAGAGAGAGAGAGAGACTATACATACAGACACACACAGAGACACACAGACAAACACACAAAAGAGAGACTTCAGAGAGTAAAAGAAAAGGCATTAGAAAACAGACAGTCTGTAGGAGGCCTTTCTGGCCTCCCTGCTTCATGATGCTGGCTGCCAAGGTGAACGCTGAAGGGGGTATGTGAACAAGCTCCTTCCCTCCTTTCCTTTCTCTCTCTGACTATTTTCTTTATCTTGCCTCCCCCTCCCTCCTTCCTTCTCTCTCTCTTTCTTTTTTTAAGTCTCATTTTCCCTTTCTCTCACTCTCGCTGTCTCTTCCTTCTTTTCTTCATCGAAACCCACCTGGTGTGCTGGCCCTGTCATTTTGGAATAAAGGATGTCAGTGGGACAAGCATCTTCAGAAGTGAAAGGTGGCTCCTCCTTCTGTGGCAGTGCTGCTGACATCACCACAGACTTGATGCTCACGGCCAAAGGCCTGCAGAACTTAAGAGTCCTAGTCAACAGGGAGTCCACCTTCCCTTAGTGTAGGAACAATGAAACAAGGCAAAGCCAGTGTCTAAACTGTGGCCCAGTGGGAAGGTGAGAGGGCAGTGGAACTCAAGTCAAGAGCCCTGTTGCGGGAGGAGAGGGGCAGACTTGGCAACCAATCACTGTGAGATATCTGCTCCTTTGGCACAGCCCTGTTGGTGGAGACTAGATGTCTCCCAAGCTGATGAGCAATCAGAAAGTTAGAGTGTTCTCTTGGGGTGCTACCTCATGCCAAGGGAACATACCCCTGTGTGCCCATTACGCCTTCCCATCCCTGATTGTCGGTGGCCTCTCTGACACATTTCTTAAGCAAGTAGTCTGGTAGAAAACACTGGAATTTGGGACTATTCTGAGATTTCACATTCCTATTTGATGATTTTTTTTATTATTATTCCTGGTTTTTAAAAAAAAATCCTTTTTAGAGCGCATTGGTAGCCAGGGAATTTCCAGGGGGTGGGGGATGTGCAAGTTACTTATTTGTAGAGCCTTTTATTATGGCTCACTCTAGAAATAAACATAGCGTGCCCCAGTGTTGTTTTCTTTTCTTCTAGGAATAAATTTAGTTTTTAAAATGTTTCATTGTGCCCTTGCTCTGATGCCACTGACGCATTAACTTTACAAAAACATCGAGCGACAATTCGAAACCGATCGAAAAACTAAGTTCTGTAAGTTGGTTCTTAGAAATCAAAATATTTTAAATGTCTTGTTTTCCAGGTGTGGGTGGCTGATTTGAAGACCCTGGCAACATGGAGGTTGCTTTTCAATATTCATAAGAAGTTGGCTTTCCAGGTAATGGCATTTTTCTCTACTTACCTGCAAACCTTCCATTTCCTCAAATACTGCAACTGTTAGGGCTTTGAAAACTTATTTTTTTTCAAGTGTCACTAAATTTTTAATTTTACAACCAATCAACCTATCTGTACTGCTCCTTGATTCTATGGTGTTTGGGCGTTTTAATTTCATAATAGTGTTTGCTTCTTTTGAAAGCAATTAGGCAGAATTCATTTGAAGGCAGCAGGTACCTGTCTTTGAACTCTTTGACTATTTGGATATACATATGTATATATTCTAGATTTCAGAATACAGGCTTTATGTAAATCTCAGAAGGTTGGTATTGATATTTTTAAGTTCTGTTCAACTTGGTGACAAATTAATACTTTCTGGAACTCTCCAATATCCACCATGTGGATAGGTACTGAGCCCAGCTCTCATCATTCGGGCAACTTCCTTTTGGTGCCGTTGAACCACTTCCTGCCACCTAGAAAGGTTTACAGGCATCGATGATCTAGCGTCTGACACATTACCTTCCCCTTTGTTTGTAAATGCCAGCCTCATGCCTTCCCATTGGTTGCTAGCTGATAGAGCCCTACGGAATCTTGTCTCATGGAATGACCCAAATTTGGAAAAAAAAATGAACCCCGTGTTCTTCTCTGACACAAAGAAATTTCTCAAAGAAGGCCTTCAGTGGCTGCTTCAGGGAAGGTAAACAAACTTATCCTCTCCCAATGTAAATATTAAATCTTTTTTAAAATCTTCTGGTCGTTATTTTGATTTCTGAATTTAACATGTTAGGTTTTTGGAAGTTGATCTTAGTATATTTGAATGCATAGCCCTTTATCCTGTGTTTGAAAAGAAGGGAGATGGTCCTAAAGGAAGCGCAGGGTTGAGTTCCTTTTTGAGGTCTCACGGTGTCTTGGGCATGTGGAGGCGGCATTGTGCGAAGGAGCCTGTGTGCAGCTTGATAGATCTTAGTGCAGTGGTGACAATTAGTGTACACATTGTCACACTGGCCACAGTGTAATCTGAATATTCTTTATCTCAAATAGGTAGGAGGTGTTTCATACTTGTGACTTTAAAAAATTAGACTGTTTTCAAGTATTTTGAGGTGCCTTAGGACCCAAGTCTAAACACAAAGTTATTAATGTCCAGGTATACAATGTGCCCGTGACCTGGAGGTATTTCATGCAAGGGTCTCTGGGCATCTACACTATCACTATGGTATGTACCCTAGCAGCAGGTGTGGGTTTTTTTTTTCTTGCACCATCAGGTCAGTGCTCAAAAAGTTTTGAGTTTTAACTGGTCCTGGTGGCACACCCCTTTGGTCGCTGCACTTAGGAGGCAGAGGCAGGTGGATCTCTGTGAGGTTGAAGCCAACCAGTTCTTCAGGAGTTCCAGGTCAGTCTGGGCAAGACAATGAAATTTTATCTAAATGGGGGTGGGAGGCTAGATTTTTTTAATTATTGGGATGAGGATGACCTAGCCTATAAAAACTAGTTCTCACTAACTGGAGAGTTGGAGCCCATCAATCCCGTAAGTTTTTCAATAGGAGCTACAATTCCCATATCTCAGCAATCCTCCACGATGTTCAGTGCCCATTTTTAAATGGCCCTGTCCCCATTCTTTTGTCAGAGACACTTAAGAACGATGTAAAACACCTGTTTTTATAAAAAGAATGAAAGTTTTAAAATAAATGATGTAAAGACTATTTGGGGGACTTCATGGTTTGGGGTATTGCTTGGCATGGTTCTCCAAATGGCAAACTCTGAATCATCACCCGCTTCTGCACGCTGGTGGGCATGGCTCTGGAGTGAAATGGGCTGATGAGGAACACCATGGTAACATCTCAGGCCCTCTTGTTTTCCTAGGTTTCGAGTTTACCTGTTAGGATGCATGCATGAGGCCTGACCTGCTCTACAAATTGCTCCCCAATCAGCTTTTATTGTTAGTAAAGCCTCTGTTTATCTTCTGGGCTCTCAGTGATGAATGTCTGCCTGACAAGGCAAAGGGGATCCTTTTGAGGGCCAAACTCCATAGTTTCCAGCTAACAGAAATTAACAATGCCTCTGGTAAGGTTGTTCAAAAGCACAAGGTATATGTTCTTCCTGATTGACATCTAAAGAAGGGACTGTCTACATGTCCATTGAGTTTCCCTGAAGCAGTTTTTGTCATGTCCATGTCTGATGCATAGTTGACAGAGGGGCCCATTCATCAAAGTCCGTCGTCTTGAATGTCTTTCCGTCCTACGGAGCTTCAGCTTTGCAGAAATACTGATTGCACGTTGACAAATGAAATCTTCCTATAATAAGGAAATAAAACCAACTTTATGCCCTTCGATAGTTTTAGGGGTAGCAGTGTTGCATGTCCTCTTACAGTTCAATTTTCAACATACACCCAAACTTGTTTGTGGTTCATATTTGGGCCAATAATGGGTTGCAGAAGCGATGGTGCAAAGCCACAACCTTCCTTGAAGATGAATCTTCCAGTTTGGTATAGTGAAATCCCTGCTAGGGTGTGTTGGGAACACTCTCTTCCAAGTTCTTTAGCAGTGCTTGCTGGTTAATTCCACTTGCTTTTTTTTCCCAACATGCAAATTAAAAGGGGGTGACCTCAGTATCCTTTACCACAGAATTGCAGAAGTTAAAAGAGTTAACTTGCATCCGGGTACTTGTTCTCTCTTTTTAGGATCTGTCTCATTCTGCTTATTGGCTATACTAGCAGTTGTTGAGACTAAACAGATGAGGATTCTAATAAAATGAGGTTCACCCAAAGCCACTGCATCAAGTGCGTGAAAAGCCAGGAGGTCCGCCAGAAGGAACAGGAGACCTTTCTAAGGTCACCCTTTGAGAGCAGGTTAAAAGAAACCCTTTTTATCTTTGACATGAATTGACCCAACAGCATAATCTGTCGTTGAACTAAATGACCCAATGACAAACTCTTTTGTTGGACTAATGGTGTTAACATTTTATCTTCAAGACAAGCCAACCCCCACACAAGAGAAGATGCTGAAGCCTGTTGCCACAAACCCGTAGATCCGAACTTGTGCTGATCGTCCACACAAGCTTGTGTCTATAGGTATGTGTCTGGTAGGCAATCTCACAGTCCACGGGCTCTGCCTGTTTGCCACTAGTACCCCCTCACCCTCTCCTGCTCTCCTTGTCTCCCCGTGGTTTGCCTTTCAGGGTGGTAAAAATGGAAAGTGGGGCTGAAGAGGAGGAAGCAGACCTCTTGCGCCACGATGGATGAGGTTAATGAAGAGGCTCACCCCATCCCCATGTTGCCTCTAAAGGCTCTCGGCTGTCAGATTAGAGACGGGGTTGGCAATGAGGCAGCAAGAATTCCAGGGATTCAGACAGCTGACTGCCGAGTGCTGAGTAAATAGACACACACAAGGGTTTGTTTTGTTTTCTGGGAGCCCAATTGTTCTCAAAGTTATGATGATCTTTTTCAGAAAGTGATAAAGATTGGCTGACAGCGCCGATCTGCTTCTGGCTGTGGTGTGGGCTGTACCTTGCAGCAGTCCCCGCCCCCATCAGTCAGCAAGTGCAGGCCACTGGGGCTTTTATTTAATAAACAAGATCATTGAGGGGGATGGACATGTTGACCTGCTTATTTATACTTGTGTAAATACACAACAAGAAAGCAAGAAGGACTTTTTAATTTAAGGAAGGAAAACAAAACAAAACAAAGCAAAACAGAAAAACCACAAAACACAAAACGACAGCAAAAGATATTCTGTTTATATCCAAATTCTTATTTTGCCCAGAGCAGTTTTCAAAGTCTTTATCATGCTTAAAAGACTGGAATGAAAATAATTTTATCCCTTCCCCTCTTAAATGTCACCATTGTGCCAGGATTGGAAAGCCAAGCTGACCACAGATCAAAGCAATACTGGCTATATTTGTCTCCTTCCAGCAATGTGAGCTGAAGAGTCTAAACAGAAGCCAGGGTGAAAAGTTGATGGGATTCTTGACGGCTCTGGAACTTTCACATTCACTTTTGCTCAAGCGTGGTACCAAGAGTTCCTGTCAGAACTCTGTTTGTTTCTCCATGGCGGGTGCTCTCAGCAATAACAATAAAGTCACTATGAACCTCTTATGAATACATTTTCTCACCTCCTGAGAGTCACACTGTTCAAGGGCAGCTAGACGTCTTTCTTCTGTAATATGTATGAGGACGATATTTTTTGTGTCTCTAAACCAGGAATGACTAGATTACGTACAGAGGTACGTACAGACGCAGATGGTCCACTTTCCATGCCTGCTTTGGCTGTTGCTTTGCATGGAGGAGTGTTGTCTGTGGTCTGTAGGACTCAAGTCAAGAAAGGTTCCCTACACCATGGTGGAACATTAGCCCAGAAGAGAAGGGCTGTCCTTACTGATGTGTGTCCTGTACACCGTCTGCCCCAGGCATTTATGCACGCACTCTGCAAACAATCTACTTGACCTGGCTTATGAGGCCTCTTTGGAGTAGCTGGAATGAGTGAACTGGCCACAGGGTTAAGCCAGCACCTCTGCGTGTTTGAGACAGGGAGCAGCATCACTTGGCGTCCATCATTCCCGTAGCCTGCTGCAGTGAGGTGTACCATGGATGGGGGAGTTGGAACCACAGGGACCCCGAGCTCAGAGTTGCTTGTATAGGAACAATAGCCAACTATAAGTGGATTGCTAGATTTCTTTTTCTTCTTTAAAAGAGATTTTGTAAATCGACGAGCCCAAGGGGGTGGGGGGCACCTTACTCTTTCAAAATCTCTAAAAGTCTCAGACATTTGATTCATCTGGTTAGAACATATTGTAGGAGGAAGCCCAAAGCCTCTGGCTACTGGCCACAAGAAACAGGAAATTAAATATTTTACACGATGATGAAATTCAGTATTTTTCCCTTCTGCCATGCTCATGAATGAATGGTCTTTCCTCAATGCTAAGTGCTCCTCTGGGATTCCCCCCAAGTGCACCAAGTATTCTACAGGAAGGAGCAGAAAGTGAAATAATGTCAAGCATCTCCCAAAAAGGCTCTGAAAACAAAAATTCAGCAGCCACTTTGGCATGAGGAAATTGAGCAGAAAACAAACTCAGCAAAAATCCCCAACTCTTCACTGCTAAATATATATCCATGAAGACTTCATACTTGAGCAT